TATTATTAGCCCTACTTGGGAGAGGAGGAAAACGCAACTCAGTGATTAGAGTGCTCAAAGCCACCCAGCCAGGAGACCAATTTGTACCCACGTCTGAATCCAAAGCTATTTCTCACATGGCCTTTGTAGTCAAATTGTCTGTACCATTTGGTGCCCTCCGCTACTGAGCCACCATGATGTGACGATGACATTAGCTTAAGAGGGGTGGGAGTGAGAGGAAGGCTGAAGCCTGCACTCAGAAGTGATTAATTATAGATGCTTTTAAATCCACATCATGCATCAGCCTTAGACGGTCAGCCATCCCTCAGGACGAGCCTGCTTTTCCCTGTTCCATTTATCAGCGGGGTTGCCATGAAAAGAAGGGGGGGTGGTCCCTTCATTTACAGCCCTCTGTGCACCCGCTGCCTAGCACTGCTTTGAACAGAAAGAGAAGAAGTTACCTGTTCTGTCTCCAGAGCGCTTGAAGTGCAGCCTTCACCGACAGGAAGGCTTGTCGGTGCCCAGGCACAAAGGTTCCAGCACCTGGGGATGCTGGGAATGAGTCACCAGAAAGAATCCAATGCATGTACACCGAGCATTTTAACAATGTTGCCGATCTGGTTCAAAGGAGGCAGGCCTTTTTTTTTTTTTAATCTAATCCTAAATCTGGCGTCTATCAGTTCAAGTGGTTCATTAAACTCTTGACATTCAACCCACAGGGCTTTCACAGATCCTAGGTTAGGAAAAAGTCCTCTCATTCGCCATTCCCAGCCTTCTACATTGACTTGGTGGTGATTTTCAAGACCACAAGTGTATGCCATAATTTAGATAAGCATACCTAACACGGAGGGGCTGGTGGGGTAGGAAGCCAGGTTTGGGAATCACCCAGACCTTGGTTTGACTCCCAGCTGTGCCAGTTCCCCACAAGTTACTTAATCTCTCTGGGTCTCTATCTCCACTCGAAGATGGGTGGGGTAATCCCATCTTATATGGTTGTTTGGTTTTTGTTGTTGTTTTTTTAAAGAAGGCTTCCTGGCCAGCGTGGAGCCCAATAGGGGGTTTGAACTCACAATCCTGATATCAAGATCTCGCTGAGCTCAAGAATAGGTCACTTAAAGATCTGAGCTGAGATAAGAAAAGGACACTTAACAGGCTGAGCCGTGCAGGTGCCCTTTTTTGTCATCCTATTTCTATGTTGCTGTGAAGACAAAATGAAATTACGTTAAAAAAGTCTGCTGACACAACTTTGCATTTCAAGACATAAAAAACTTAACCACATGACAGGAAAATAGATCTAGTCAAAAGGTCCATAGGTGGGTTACACTCAATACACTCACTTAAGGGCCGACACTTACTTCACTCTTGTTTGTTTTTGTAAGTTTCCATTCTTAGACACCGCGAATAAGCTTGATCAGACCAAAGAAAATTCCACTGACAAACTGATCAGAAAGCATGTCAATTCTCAAAAACTCAACAGATGGACACAAACAGTCATTTCACAGTGCAGCTGACAAAAACAAAATGTGCTCTCTCCCGCCCTCCTCCATCTTAGTTGCATCGTCCCACAGGACTCAGTCCACCATCAACTTGCAGTAGGCCTTGACACAGGTTTCTCATCTCTGTGATACTCGGCTTCTCAAATGAGAAAGCAAGTATACGAATATCTCCGAATCCAACAAACCCGTTCGAATCCAGGCCCCACCACTTACTAGCTGTGTGACCTTGAGCACATGGCTTAAGCCTCTGAGCCTCGCTCAGCTTCCTCAACTGCAGAAGCTGGATAATATGCCTGTGGCGGATGACACCCATGTGTCACGTAACATGACAGATCCATATGACATATGACGGCTAGACCAACAGTAGTGGTTTTTGCAAGAGCAAGAGATAACCGTGAACCCTGTAGTAGGGGATCAATAAAAGGTTGCTCCTCTGCCCCTGCCCAGGACAACTCATTCACATCTCAGACTTTTACTGAGCATCTACCATGTGTCAGAGACTGGGGTGGGGCTGGAGAAGCAGAGCAAGACTGGCCTTGAAGATGTCACAGTGCCACAAGAGCCCCAGATACAGAGACCAAGTGATTATGTGCTTGCTCCAAAGACTGTAGGGGGGGGGGCACTGAGGCTTGGAGAGAAGCACTGGTGGAGCTGGCTGGCAAAGGCTACACAGAAGACGTTCGTTTAAACTGAACAGATGAAAAGAGTTCAGCAGACAGATGGGGGGCAGGGTCTGAACTAGAAAATTCCTCATATCCCCCAACCTCAAGTTCCCCAAATGCAAGCCTTTTCATTTCTTTTTTTTTTTTTTAAGATTTTATTTATTTGACAGAGATCACAAATAGACAGAGTGGCAGGCAGAGAGAGAGGAGGAAGCAGGCTCCCCTCTGAGCAGAGAGCCCGATGCAATGTGGGGCTCGATCCCAGGACCCTAAGATCATGACCTGAGCCAAAGGCAGAGGCTTAACCCACTAAGCCACCCAGGTGACCCAAGCCCTTTCGTTTCTGCAAGGCTCAGGGTCACCAGGTACTCATGCCATGAAATGACAAACACCACAGTCATCCATGATCCGTCAGTATGATAGGAAGGTTCTAGGGGCAGGAGGAACAACTGCCAAAAAGCCTTAAAAACTTTAATGCGCTTCCCAAGAGTATGAAAGGACAGTTCCATGCATGAAAATTTCTTGGCCCTTTAGTCCACAAAGAACTGGAAGTTACCCTCATCCTAATGCAATCTTCGGGAGGGGGGGCCCACTTTTAAGTTCTGGAAGCCATTAAAACAAATCAAGCCATTAAAACAAATCAAAGTCCTAAAAACCCTCCATCTACTTTTGGAGGACTCTTATCAGAATCCCAACTCTTAGGAAATTCGCACCTTACCAGGGAAGACAGTTATGTTAGGAGGCATCAATTATACTTCTACAAAGGCTTTTTTTTTTTTTTTTTCAACAAGGGATGGGCCATTTCCAAGGCTGCATACACCAATCTAGGCATCATCACTTGCAAGTTACATCTCTGCACATCGGCTACCGTGTTTGACACAACACACCTTGCTGGGACAGAGTTCTCCATCAAACCACCCACCTGTCAAACTCAAGGTTCAAGGAGGCAAAAAGCTTGCGTAAAGGGGGAGAGATCAGTACATCCCACAGGACCATCCAAACTTGCTCCAGGTCCAGGGCCCTGTGGGATGCAATCCTGAATCGTGTCTTAACAATAATTTGCACTTTACCTAACTCTTTACTGGCCAGTATTATCTCATGCAACACTTACAGAAGAAAGCCCAGTGGTAACACGACCAAGCCCATATTAAAACTAAAGAAACTAGCAAGCTTTAAAAATATAAAAGCAAAAATACAGATAGAGAAAAGAGCAGATCTTGGTGGCTTCTCTGACACCATCACGGATCCCAAATACAATCACTGGAACAAGAACAAGTCAGAGAAAAAAAAAAAAAAAACCAAACCTGTAGTCCCTTCTGATGTTCATTTAAATACAGATGAAAACTTAATTATCAGTACGAACTCAATCACTGCTGTGCGGCATTCAGTATATGATTTTGCCAGCACCTATCATCTGGTATCTAGAGCTACAAGATGTACATGTTTTCTGCCAAATCCTCATTATCTTACGTAATTGGGAGGGGGGTAATTAATATTCACCTTTTTCAATTATTTTAATCTCCTGTTCCAACCTCTTCTTTCACAGAGCATTTTTTGGAGGTAGAAAGGAAGAACTCATACTTCACATCTTTCCCAGCCCATTATCTTCTGTGAATGTTAAAAATAAAAAGGGGGAGAGGGTGTTATCCTGAAGATCTCTCTTAAAAAAAAATTCTCAAATGTGTGGAGAGAGCACCCCGGAGACCAAGCTTCCAGTTCTGGTAGTGACACGGTATCACCGCATGACCTTGGGCAAATCACTGCATCTCTGGGCCTCAGTTTCCCCCACCTGAAGCCCCACATGGTCAAGCCCCATCCTCTCTTAAAGCGCAGACTTCAGATGCATCTCCGGGCCAAATCAGTGAAGGGACCCCAGGCCATGCCCCTGGGCGGCGGAATGGACTTTCACAGGCCCCTGCTGGGGTTTCTGGGGAGAGCAAGCTGCCCCCATCCTCCCCAACCCGCCCCGCAAAGCCACTGGGCCAACTTCAGGTCGCAAACAAAAACCTGTTGGCACGGAGTCCCCTAGGAAAGGCCAGCCTCTCCGAACGCTCTCAGCTCAGGGGGAGCCGCCCCACGGGCAGAGAGAGGAAGGGTCTCCTTGAAGAGTCCGGCCCCCACGCACCCATTCACCCACCCGGATTAGCCGAACAGGACCGTCGGGCGGGGTCTCTGCCATCCCACGCGGAACAAAAGGCAGCTGGAACCAGACTCTGCCGCCCCCGTCCCCGCTGTGCTGTGGGGGGTCGGGGGTGGGGAGGGAGAACCTGGTCCCTGGGGAAGGAAAAGGGCCCCGCTCCAGCCCGAAGGCGAGGGGGGACGGGACCGGATCCTAGGACAGAGAGGACCCCTCCTCCGATTCCTGAAGGAAACAGGGCTGGGCTGTGCACGGGGGCGGGAGGGAGATCGCGCTCGGCTCTGGAGGAAAGAGGCGCCTGGCCCGAGGAGGGGAGGAAAGTGCTCTGGGGAGGTGGGGCGGGGTTGTTCCAAGCTGAAAGGTAGAGGATGAGGGCACGAGGAGGATCCTGGATCTGGGGTGGGATTAAGAGGAGAGCCCCAGACTCCGGAGGATGTAAAAGGAAGAGCTCCCAGATAGGAAAATGGGGGGGGGGGGGGGGCTCCTTGCAGCGGAAAGAGGGATCCAGATGGGGAGGGGGCCATGCTCCAACCCGTGGGGCGGGGCCTGGTGGGAAAGAAAGGGGTCCCACCTGAGGTGGGGACCCAGCTGGGGCACCTGGGTGCATGCTCTGGGGGGCTGGCTGGAGGGGAGCGGCGCCGTGAGGGAGTCCGTGCCCTGGGGAGGGGAGGGTCCGCGCCCCGGGGCCCCGCTCCCGCCCCCCGAGGCTCGTGGGCCCCGGCTCACCTCCGCTCCTCCGAGCCTGCCTGGGTGCGCGGCTGCGGCCGCGGGTAGCGCTGGTGAGGCGGGAGCGACCGGAGCCTGCGGAGCCGCCGCAGCCGCCGCCGCTGCCGCCGCCGCCGCCGCGTCTAGCTCCGTTTGACACCCACACACCAGCCAACATGGCGGCCGGGAGGGGGCGCGCCGGCGGCGTGCGCGCGCCCGCCGGCCCCGCCCCTCCACCCTGCCGAGGCCCCGCCCCCGCCGAGGCCCCGCCCCCGCGACCTCCCCCCACATACCCAAGACCCCGCGCAGAGTGCCGAACGCTCCCGCCGCACCCCTCGACCTACGCCCAAATCCCTCAAGCGTCCCTCCAAACTCCACGCATGCATCTCGAGGACCCCCCCAATCGCCCACAAACCCTCGCGAATTCATACCCGAACCCACGCACTCAGACACCTCCCCACAAAACCCCCCACCCATACTCTACAAGCATCTCACCACCCTAAGGCACGCACACGGAGCCCTCCACCAGCACGGAAACTCGGTTCTGAACCTTACAGTGTGCACTTGAAAACATTATTCCCACAGGGGCTTCTCTCAGGAGGTGGAGCCTGGAAGGGGCCAGGGACTCCGGAGGCGCTGGTCACTTTCAGTTTCTTGAGCGGAGTGCCGTTGTCCCAGGTGTGTTCACTTTGTGAAAATTCACTGATGTACATTTCAGGTGTGTGCCCTTTTCCGTATGTGTGTTAATTTTTCAAACACTCAAAAATTTGAGAAGGGATGCATCGGCTTTGCTAGACAGCCAGAGGGATCCTTAACACTAAAAATGGGGAGCCCTTGGCTCACCGTCAACCTCACATGAGGAATTTACACGACCTGAAACTCACAAAAGCAACACAGCTGCCCCTTCCATCTGGTTCATCCAGTGCCCATGAGGCACCAGGCTCTGTGCAAGGCTCAAAAGGAGTTGAAGACGAAGCTGGACAAGAGGCAGACCTTGGAGAGGTTCCTGGGACCTCACGGCTGACTAACCCACTCCAGACAGGGTGGGGTCAGCAGAAACCCCTCAGAGCAGATTCTGGGGTGTGGTTCAGAGTTCGCTAGGTTGGCAGACAGCACCATCCCTGTTGCCTGTGTTCCAAGGAGGCCCAGGTGACATCAACACTCTGCCAAGCTCTGGCGTTCAGGGAAACTGTTTCTCTGAGTCCCATTCTGCCCCCAGTTACTAAGAGACCTTAGACAAGTCATTGCACTTCTCTGAGCTTTTTATTCCTCCTCTCTATGAAGAAGTCTAATGGATGAAGACCTCCCTTCTGTTCTTCCAAGCTGAAATCTAGACTTCCTTTCTCAGGGAAAAGTATAAGAGCAAAAGGAAAGGGGAGAAGAGAGAGAGAAACAGAGGGAAGGGGAGGAAAGAAAGGGGAGGGAGGGGAAGGAGAGAGAGGGGAGGAGAGGGAGATGAGGAGAGAGAAACGCAGAGACTAATGCAGTTGTGAAGTCACGTGGCCATTTTTCCTCTACAAAACTCAACACTGGTGGTTCCAGATGTTAGAAATTCCTCCCCGGGGTTTGCAACCCCCTCCCACTGCTCAATGTCCCTTCTCCACCGGGATAGTGAATTAGCCTCGTGGCAGGAACCCAAGCTCCCTGTTTTGAACTTGGCCCTCCCTTCTCCTGGAGAAGGCCCTCAACCAGTCCAACACTCCCCATAAGGTGCAACTCACTCTTTGCTGGCCTTCTGGAAGAGGAGAGCTTTCCATGAAACCATGGTCCCTGTCCCCAGAGTTTGTAGCTTCCTATGAATTACACACTCAGCCTGTGGGCGCCCGGTGTGGGCTAGAGGGCTTTCCCTAGATAGAGCTGCCCTGTAGTGCTTCCTGCAATGATGGAAATGTTCTCTAGCTGTGCCATCCACATATGAGCGCTTGGGATGTGGCTAATGTGACCCAAGGAGCTGAATCTTTAAGACCTTATTTAACTTTAATTAATGAACTTGAATAGCCACGTACGGCTGGATGCTGGACCACACTGAACAGCGGCTGCCCTAAACCTCACCACAGCCCCACAAGGTGAGCAGTCTTATTGTCCACATCTTACAGATGAGAATTTGAGGTTTGGAGAGATGCCAGGACTTGGTCATCGAGGCCAGTTTTTCCGCGTGTAGAGCCCATTGCCTTCTGCACCCAGCTAACAAGTCTGCCTAGCCACAGAGATAAACATGCAAATTCTGGGGAGAGACCTGGATACAGATAAAGAGACCATGGGGTGCAGGGTGCATGGCTGGCTCAGTTAGAGAAGCAATGCAACACTCAATCTTGGGGTTGAGTTCGAGCCCCACGTTGGGTGTAGAGATCACATACATAAATAACAAATAAATAAATAGACTTAAAAAAAAAAAAAAAAGAGGGAGAGAGTGATCTTAAGTACAGCCCAGGAAGGAAATTGGAGAGCAGGAGAAAGAGCCAGGCTGGGGAGTGGAGCAGGGCCCTCTGAGGCCGAAAGACCACCACCCAAGTGCAAGGTCAGAGGGGACATTCCTGCATTCCTCCAAGAGGTGTCTCCTTCCGGAACTGCTTTGAGATGTGAAGCATCTCACTGTCTTTCATGGTCCCTCTCTGAATACACCTTCACTATTAGCCCTTAAGGTCAACAGTCCTAGTCCCCCTAGTTCCAGATGAGGAAACAGAAGCAGCAGACAGCCATGCTGCGATTCAGACCCAGGTTCTGGTCCAGAGCATGGAAACAGTCTTATAGAAGAGGCTGCAGGATAAGCCAGACACTGTGCCTAAACCCAAAGCAGTCCCAGGGCACAGGGGTGGAGCTGACACCTCATCCGCCCTTCCTCATGGAGCCAGGGCCCAGGGGTACACAGGTGCCTGGCTCTAGGGGTCCCAAACAGACCAGGTCCCACCACTTGCCACTGACAAAATCCAAAGGCAGAGAGATAAGCAGAGTTAAAGCAGGAAAGGAATTTATTTCATTGAGGCCAAACCAGGAAGACAGTGGACTCGCTTCTCAAAAACTGTCTCCAAAGTGCTGAAAATACTTCCAGGTTTATGCAAAGAAAATGTGGGATAAAGGTCAGTGGGTCCCCGCAGGTGGGCAGTAAAGATATGTCCATCACTGTCTTGGAGTAGATAGCCTATGGGTGAGGTCTTGCTGGCTCAGGGCATCCTTATTGCTTGAAGGGGATAGCTTCCATTCCCCCAGGGGATGCTTTGCAGGGTCTTTTAAGAGAAGCTGGAAAGAAGAACTTAATTAGAACCTTTGAGGTCAAAATGGAGGTAAAATCCTCTTTCACTAGGATTTGGAGGTTGGTTCCAGATGCATAGTGAGGCACTGACTGAGGCTGGTCAGAGTGGTGTTCCGAAAGCATTGAGATGACCATGCAGGCCAAGGGATGTCTTAGGAAAGAGGGCATGCTGAGTGAAAAGAATTAATGCAGGGTAGTGGGAAGAAAGGCAGGCGGGGACAACGGTCCTTTGCCCTCCCACCCACCCTAAGAGGAAACCACCCTTAGAAGGATTTTACACCAACCTAGAAGGAACCCTCCACCCTTTCCCCTCTGATAGGTAGATGACAAAAACCCGACTAGATGACAGGAGCAGGGAGGGTTAATCATAATAAAACAACCCCCCCCCCCAAGCCCCTAGACTTAGAAACTTTGGTGGCAACCCAATCAGGTACCTTCCCTCTTTGGGACATTTGTGCTATTGCTCCATAGCCATCCATCAGTAAACCTTGCTTTTTTGCCCAGCACTCTTCATCTGGTCTACCTCTTCATTCTTCAAAGCGTATGACCAAGAACGAAGGGGACTAAAGGGAAAAGAAATCCTGTAACAGTCACCCTGTAGAGGTGCAGAAGGAGGGCCCAGGGATCTTCACCGAAGGTTTGAACTCTAGATTCAAAACCCTTTGGCCAGCAGAAAGAGCCCTCTGCTGGGAATACAGAAACAGCTGACTTCTTACCACTGATATGCTGCTTGACCTTGGCCATCTCACTGGTCCCCCAAGGCCTCAGTTTCCTGATCTGTGAAGTGGGAATGATGCTTCCCACTTAACCTCCCATTTTGGACACCTGCTCTGGAGCTTCCCTCTGCTTCCAGGTCGGGTGCTGCTTAATTCATGAATCATTTTAAAAAGTCCAGTAGATCTTTAAAAACTTACTTGGTTGAATTTTGTTTTTTTTTTTTTTTAACCAGCCCTAGATGCGTGTTAGCATTAGTTCGTATTAAGATGTGGAGGTGAAGCTTCTGCTCCTCTAGGAGCTGGAAGTCTAAAAGGGCAAAGAGAAATCATGAACAAGAGCAGAAACTGAAACACCGCATAGAAAATCACAAGACGAAGAGCTGTGAGAGCTCACAGGGAGAAAGTTTCCTTTAGCTCCTGGGAGGGAGTAATCAGGGCAGCCTTCCTGGAAGTGGAGGTCCTGGAGTTAGGAAAAAGTAATAATAATAACAACAAAGCAGAGAGCACTGTGGAAATGCTTTGCATAGATCATCTCACGTCCTCTTAATAACAGCTTTGATTGAGTTTGAGACCATCTTTATCCCCATTTTATAGATAAGATTCCATTTGTCCTTGATCACAACGCTAAAAGGCAACAGTACTGGAAAACCCAGGTTCTCCTGATTCCAAAGCGAACCTCTTGAGAGGAATTTGAAGAGGCTGAGGGGAGAGATTGTTCCTACCCTCCAGCTCCAGGAGTGGGTGTATAACAAAGGCTGAGCCAATCAGAGCATCCCTCCTTGGCCATAGTGATTGGCTCAGAAACCAGCACGTGACTCAAAACAGGCCAATAAGACTCAAGCCCAGGATTTTTGTAGAAGCCACTGAAAGGACACTTCTCTTCCCATAGGTTGCTGAACTAGTGGGATGTAAGGCTGGAGCAGCTCCACACTGTGAGACTCAGCCTGAGAATGAAAGTAGCACAGAGATAAGTGAAAAGATAGATTTCTACTGACATTATTTGAGCACCTTGAACCAGCCATTCCTGAAGCTTTCACCCTGGACTTTTTAGCACACAAGCCAATACATCAGTTGGAGCCATTTTGATAGAAAACCAAACTCAAAGTGCCTTAAATAATAATTGGAATCAATTAGCTCATTTAACTAAAATCTCCAGAGTTAGGGCTTCT